TTTTTTTACTAAAAAAAAAAAAAAAAAAATATCTTTTTGTCTCAATTGTCAAGTGTGATATAGTATAAGAAATTTTATTGACTGTGTTGATGGATATTGACGAGAAAAAGTATTTTCTTTGTCAAATGTAACTTTTACGGGACTGTCTATGGTCAAGTACCCCTCGTACCTACCTAACATCAGGTACCCCTTTATATTACCATTAGATTGACTTATAAATCATTATCAACCATTAGATTCAGGGTACGAGGTTGGTACGAGGTGATCAAAATTCTCTTTGCCTCGTACTAACCTCGTACCTCTTTCTACTTGTAAAAAACCTATAATACTCTTATGTCATTAAAAATTAAAATAACTTATAAAATAATAATTATATTTATTTTAAAAACCTTACATTCATATTATTTGTATAACAATCCTTCAGTTACACAAAATATATCATGACTAACCTTAACATTTAATTTACCAATTAATCTCCCAAAAATCAAAATCAACATCTCTTTCCTCTTAACCATCTGTCGGGCCCAATCCCAAACCCCTCCCACACTTGCAGCTCCGCCGCCGGCCTCCGACGCTGCGTCGGAGTATTCCTCTCTTATTCCTACGAAGGTGGAAGGATCTTCCCGCCGATTCGGCCCCCTGATCCAGCCCGACAACCCTACTAGTTTAGGGGCGGCTATGACGTCGCATACTTTTTAGGTAATGATGAAAGCATGTGTGCCCCTCTTGCTGAGTGACAGGCGTCACTTCTGTCGAGACGAGGTCGGATTTCTCCTGACATCAGTTGTTCCACAGGTTTGTAACCTGCGACGTCCTTCTCAAAGAACCTTTTTAGAACCGAGATGACAATCCCGAGGTCACTTGTTCAATGCTGGGGCGATCTGGGAGCCTGCTTTATTTGTCTTGGAAACCGAGGTGGTAGTACCGAGATGCCGATTAGTTATCGAGATAATACCAAGGATCTCCATCGCACCTCGGTCTTCTTAGTAATTAACTCTAAATTCTTCTTAAATCCACTCGAAAACGCCATTAATCTGCGGAATACGATTTTGGTATTAAAAAGTCGAATTTAATTTTCTAATCTAAATTTGTGATTAATATTTGGATTTGTTATTTACTCTAATAGATTCGAAAATACCATTCCAGTGCTAAAAAAGATAAAAAATCATCTACCAATTTTCTTCCCTTTGTATAAATAACTACTATGAGAAAATGTAATCTAATATCGTTCAGATTTTTAAAAATCCCAACAGTATTATCAATTATACAATTGCACATAAAAAAAAGGCACCATTTATATTCTAAGCTAAATAATATATGTTAGATATGATATTTCAACGAAATGTTGGATCGTCCTTTGTATAAATCAATACTATGGGAATAATTTATTAGACTATCATTATATTTTATAAAATCCCAACAGTATTTTCAATGGTATAATTGCACAAACAAAATACAACGTTTAAATTCTAAACAAAATAAATATATAAATGATTGCATATTTCAACAATGAAACAATATCTCTAATTCACGTATCAAATAGTGTTTATTTTATTAAAAATATACACGCGTTTGACCAACTTTTTAAAATATAAATGAACAATGAGTCAATCTTTTAATCGCAAAAAGATATTTTTAATACTTTAATCATAATGCTAAATTAATTGCAGAACATGCTATTTGGAGCAGAATATCGTGCCAATATATTTTACATAAAGTATAGTGTTGACATATATTCAATTATTTAAGTTATACTTTACACCATGATTTTTACCAAAACCATTTCGCTCATAAATCATAAATGGTTAATTGATTTGAAATAAATCAAACGCAATATTTCAAGCCAATATCATCTATCATAAAATTCAATACTCTAATTAAAAAACAATATCACAAAATTCAACGATAATACGGCCTAATTACTAATTTCACTTTTAGGCTTAACATATTTAACAATGTCATAAAATTATATATATATATATATATATATATATATATATATATATATANTCGAAGAATTCAGTCGTTTTTTTTTTCCTTTTTGTGATAGGCGCACCAATTGATTAACCCGAAACCGTTTCTGTTGCAACCAATGGAATTGAGCGATACTCAACCAGGTATTGTGTAATTTATATCATTAAATGCACATAATTTAATTATAGATAATATTCTGAGTAATATGCAAATTTCCTGTATGAATTCCGAATTATCAAGCCATATCATCTTCATATGAATATGCTTATGTTCAATATAATTTGTGCATGCTAATGTACTTAAATGTGCATTGTATTATGAGTAATTGTGCAGGTTAATGTACATAGGTGTGCATTTACTGTATTTTTTTTTTCTTTTTTAGCTTGTTCTTATATATTCGCATAAATTACTACAGATGCCGCCCCGATCGAAACGTCCAAACACCATCAACTCGTAATAACACCTGGAGGCACTAAGTATTGGATACCCCACTGTGATGATGCAATTCGACCTCACATTGGACAGCGGTTTAAGGGATTAAATGAGGCAGTTGATTTCTACATGACATATGCGTCTACGGTTGGTTTTGACGTCAGAAATAGCACATTGGTGAAAGCAATTGATAATACGACGGTGCTTTGGAAATACTTGGTGTGCTCACGTGAAGGCTTCAAAAAACACCCGAACACAGGCCAAATGGTACCTGATGTGGGCCGTGTAAGAAGGCGCAGGGTCTCCAACCGTGTTGGATGTAATGCACGAATCGTGTTGCGAGTTGATGGAAAAGACGGTTATATTGTTAATCTTTTTGAGGAGAAACATAACCACACCATGGCCTCTGATGAGTGTAGGGCACAACTGAAGATTAACCGAACGATGACTGCCGCACACCAAAACTTTGTTCTCAACTGTATAAAAGCAAACATAGGCCCCACCAAGTCGTACAAGCTGTATAAAGAGATGATTGGCGGATATTCGAGTGTTGGTGCAACCCATGTGGACTTCAAAAATTTCAAAAGAGAACTCCTTGCATATATTTCGGGCGCCGATGCTCAATTGGTAATAGAAAAATTTTATAAACGTCAAGAGAATAGTTCCGCCTTTTATTTTAAATATGAGCTGGATGCTAATGATTGCTTGCGGAGGCTTTTCTGGGCTGATCCAATATCAAGAAGAAACTACGGCTCTTTTGGGGATGTTGTATCGTTTGATGCAACGTATCGCACAAACAGGTAAATGAAATCCCACACGTCCATTTACATCAATTCTGCAGAACTAAAATATTTTATAATCATACTATATATATATATATATATGACCGAAATGTATTGATGTCTGATATAATTGGATATTGTAGGTACAATATGGTCTTTGCACCTTTTACCGGGATAGACAATCACAACAAGTGTGTGACATTTGCTGCCGCTTTGATATCAAAGGAAGACGTGAATTCGTATGTATGGGTGTTCGAAAAATTCAAAGATGCAATGATCCAGGAGCCCAGCTACATAGTGACAGACCAAGATCCCTCTATCGGAATTGCTTTCACAAAGGTATTCACTAATAGCAAACACCGCTTTTGCATGTGGCACATAATGAATAAATTATGTGATAAGGTCGGCCATTCCTTAATTAATGATGTTAATTTCAAACGGCGGCTAAATGAAATTGTTTGGTCTCGGAGCATTGAACCTGCTGATTTTGAATCTAAATGGGCTGGAATAATGAATGAATATTCGTTGGAATCACATAGTTGGTTTATTGATTTGTTTGCTAAGAGAGAGCACTGGATACCGGCATATTTTAGAGATATTAGAATGAGTGGGTTGATGAGGACCACGTCAAGATCGGAAAGCGAAAATAATTGGTTTAGCAGCTTCACAAATAATCATTATAGTTTGGTAGAGTTCTTGTTACATTTTGATAGTGCGATGGATGCACAACGGAACAAATCGATGAAGTTACAGTGCGATGATGAAACTCATCAGGCCGAGTTAAAAACTCCATTGTCTATTGAAAAGTCTGCCCTAAATGTATACACCACAACAATATTCTATCGTGTGCAAAATGAAATATGTGATGCATGTTACAAGTGTCGAGTTATGCAGTTTTCTGAAAATGGCAGCCACCTGACATTCGTGATAAAAGATGGTGATGGGAAAACTTTTACGGTAATGCACGATATAGTGCTTAATACATCAAACTGCTCATGTAAACACTTTGAGATGTATGGACTGTTGTGTAGGCACATTTTTGTTGTGTTTAAGGACATAAACGTGGAGATAATACCACGTGAACATGTTGTGTCGAGGTGGACAAAACTTGCCGTCACGAACCCTATGTTCCGTATACTCGATAGCATTTCTGAACAATGTGCAGAGCGGGATGAAAAGAAGTTCATGATTAGTAGGTTGTGGTCTGACATACATGTATGCATGGGGTTGGTTGAGACACACACGGACCGACTTGTTGAGTTTTCGAAAATCATTGGGGAACACAAGAACAGACTATTGGCAGGTCAAGTCGGTGATTCGACTGACATTGACAAAGAACAGAGGTTTGATACATTTGTCGGCATGACTGCTCCACAATCGGTAAGCATTCGTCCTCCAACACAATCAAAAAACAAAGGAAGTGGAAAAAGGTTCAAGTCGGCCAAGGAGAAATCAATTGAACAGTCCAATAAAAAAAGAAGACTTTGCAAGACGTGTGGTGAACGGGCAGGACACAATACACGTACCTGCCCTAATAAGCAGCAACCGAGCGTCTAGAAGTGATTGGAGATAAAAGGTACCAGTTGTATTGTTCTACATGTATACATATATATTAAATAATATTCTTACGTCTACATTGGATATTGTAAGTTGTTTGTATTTAATACTATTACTGTATATCTATCGACAAATGCAACAGCATGTTGATATTTAGTTAAAAAAAAAACAATAATAATAATAATAATAATAATAATAAAACAACAAATGTAGTTATTTAATATTATTCGTTAGAATCACATTAACAAATAATTATTTGCACATACAGGTTTTTCCTTATTGGATGAGCATTACTGATTTGCAAAATTTTACATTTGCAGATGTCGATATGGTCTGGAAAATTCAATTGCACGCGAGGCGATAGCACCTTGAATTGTTTTACATTATCTCTGGATGAAATAACTCCATGATTGTTATCAAAACATATAATTTTTATTTACGCTTCGTCGGCACACTTTTTGTCTTGGAAGTAATATACTAGATGTCGTATTATTAATACAGATGTTATGATTTTTATTGTGTATTTTTTGAATGGATGACATATTTATATGCACAATATTTCACACGAGATGCACCATATAGCTGAATATGTTGCACTGCAAACTTTTCATTTACAAAAATTGTTACAATAAAACTTAGACTTTACATATGCTGATGATTACAATGAATATTATCGGAATATCTTACAAGTGTAAATATCATCATTTCTGGATTAGTATTGTAACCGTTATAACATAAATAGGCTTTTGATATTTTTTTTTTTTTTTTTACAATTTGCCTCTCAATGTAATCGAAACTGACAATTTGCCTCCTCGATTAAAAACTCTAATATGACACGAGCAAAACAAACAAAACGATAAACGAAAAAAAGAAAAAAAAAACAAAAGAAGCCTATGTAGAATGTAAAACAAAAAGCAAAAAATATACAATTACATTGCACAGTACACGTGTCACAATTGCACACGACGTCAACTTGTTAAACCCATTATCTATAAGATATGCACACTCGAGCAAATCTCACACAATTGTAGAATACATTAACAAGCAACACTAAAAAATGTATATGCGATAATCTTGTTGTGCACAACAAAGTGTACAATATTGCATAATGTATATATCTAATGTGCACATTATATATGTAAGTCATAACCAAAGACCACTGACATAAACCACCTGAGTATCTAAATTTTGATCATACAATAACATGCCATCAAAACGTGAAGACGTCCAAGACAGCTAAAAGCAAAAATCCAGTGCATCATTATCCCTACAGGCGTCATGACCTCAAAACACGTCGTTCACACGAAATTAACCAGCCAACCATGATCCACAAAAACATCAGAACGAGTACCAGCTCAAAAGTTTCACTATCTACATCATTAAAACGATCACGATGTAATGTGTTGCTTATTTGCGAGATACACAGGATGGAATCTCTTTGCTTCACTAAGATTAATCTCCTTCAGTGCATTGTTTGGGGCACAAGCGATGACGTAAATATAGCGCTTCCTCATGAGCTTCATTTGTACCTTATCTCCTATCTTTAGTTGTGGATTCCAGCTCTTACCGACAACACCCTTAAAAGTCTCCATGTGGCGCATTGTGATCACACCAACATCAGCCTTGTCGACCCCATCGATCCATGCCATGTCAACAACGTCTGGAATGGCTAATCCAACCGATTTAGAACTCCTTGACAAATTTCTCTCGCCTAAATACTTTGATATCGATTGTTGCTGTAACAATTCAAACCACGGTTGATACATGCAAAATAATAAAAAAAAAAAAACAAAAAAAAATAAAAAAAATACAAACAACTGTTAACAAAATCACGCATATGTATATTATAACATTACCAATAGCTCGGCACGTGACATGAGAGCTTTCTTCACAGACACATCTTTGCAATTACCGGCGCTATCTAAAATCGTGTACTTTTGAGATTCCGGCGCAACACACAATAACCCCGAAAACATCCCAGAATGCACGGGAAATAAAAACTGAGAAAAAGCAAAAAAGATTTAAACGAAATAGTAATCCAATAGAGATGTTCACGTAAATAACGAGAAGATTACAATATAATGTACATTTACCATCGATATCTGCTTCAATTGGTAAATAGACATTCGTGCGATTGCGGAATCTAGCGACTGAGCGAACTTTTTGTAGCTCACTTCCTTCCTCCTTTTGCCATCGAAAAATAGCTGCAACCCACAATGATGCAGATCACAATACCAATCAAGCGGAAAAAGGAAAAAATGCATGTGTGTTTAAACATAACACAATATATCAGCATTACCAACCCAGGATAACATGAGATACCCACAAGATAACAGTTATAGAAACTACTACAAAGCATGGTCACGTAGTTAAGATTAAATGGTTTTCATAATATCGTTAATGCAATATGATCAAATTACTGATTTGTTTCAAGACAAATAAAGTAACAGGAAATAAGACCGATCCTCCTAAGACACTTGCCTGGTATTTAAGATGAACCCTGTATAATATATAAGTAAACCAAAACTCGGGATCATTTTTAAACGACATTAACTTAAGAAACCACTCATATATTCGTAAACACGTACATATTATAAAAACCGCATAAACTAAAGTCACACACCTCATTGCATAGGGACGTAGATGCAAAAAAACATGTAGCCGCACCACGACTTTTTAAATTCTCACTATAGTTAAGGATGCATGACCATAACGCTAATAGTTCATTTGTAACTGGGGTATTTGGCAGCAAACACTCCACGACAGCCTTCTTCACGGAGTAGCCGGATGACTGGAATATAACAAGGTCGCTGTGTGCGTGTACATAATCATGCGTATGCAAAGAAAACAAAAATTAGAATAATATTGCATTAATTATATGTCTCGATTATAACAAACTAACAATAATCATACCCGTCGGTAACATCATTCTTCAATATCCAGTTGACTATCATCTTCTCGTGCCCATCGAGCTTCTTAACCACATCAATGGCTCTCTGTTTGTAGGGAGATTTCATTGCACTGGTAGCCTTGATGCGCCTCTTCGGCCTCGGAGATACACGAACATCATCACCGCCATAGCCTACACATACACGTGCGTATATATACACATATATGTTATAAAATGGATAAACAACACCATGATGGAAAACCGAGCATGCTAAAAAAATTACACGTACATATATGAATGAGAAATTACTGTCATGTACCTATTTGTGCATCTACTACAAGCATCGTCTCAATTGTGGGTTGAACTCTGTCCAATTCAAGATTTACATCTGCATTTGCTGCCACACTCGCGTGATCATGGTTATCATCGGCAATTTCGTCATCGGATGATAGGCCCAAGCCCAAGCTGTAACTAGGTCCCTCGCAGTGAATTTTCATAAAACGCTCCCGTTGTTCAACTGCCTTCAAAATGTCATCTATTGCCGCCAATGTAACAGGATCGTTCCAAAACGCATCGTCGGCTATCTGAGATGAATAACCCTTCTCATTGTCATTTGTTGCATCACATTCCTTTGCAGCATCAGTATGACGAGGCTGACTTGAACCAGGATGGTTCGAATTTCCCTTGGGTGCTTCAGTATACACACCGAGCAGCTTTTGTGCCGCGTCCTGCATTTTCACAAAGTTCTCATCCCCCAATAGAACTTGTGGTGCCTTTTCGACCAACTTTAGAATTTCGACACCAGTTGCAGCGAGAGTGTGAGTTTTAGATGCAAAATCATGAACATAAGCCTGTAAATTGACAATATCACAATTACAATATTCAGGTTGCACGATTTTACATTCAAGAATGCACAATATATAACAACGAACAGTACAAATAAATCATAAAAAATAAATCCAATTAAGTGATGAAACATATAAATAATAACAGTATATAAATAAAAAAAAACAAAGAATAATAATATCTATGAAATAAAAGATACAAATATTTAGACCGACCAGAATTGGATATCTAATAACGAACACTAATATACTCTTTAATATTTCATAAAAAAACATATTTTGATAACTTAAAACGTTCATCGCCTACAACACTAATCACAAATATGTATGTTAAAAAAGGAGCTGTTAATAAATGACTGGGAGAAATAACACAATTTTCTAAATTTATGCATGATCAACTTAATAATGAACAAAACCACATAGACGAACAATTGCACATTTCTGTCAATGAAATTGCACGAATTTACATTAACTAATGCACAATATAATAGCAATAATAAATCGAAGAAACAATTAGCAAAAAAATAAAATAAAATAAAATACAAAAATAAAAAGAACAAGGGCAACATGTTTGTAGTGTAACAAACAGAACATAATAAGAATTGATAACATATTCAACAAAAAAAGGAAAAAAAGATAAAAAAACAGCCATATTTATGTAGAATGACAACTTATACGTATCATATTACATACCTGTAGTGTATGTTCGTCTGTTACACCGGTGACCTCGTTGGTAGATGTGAGTCGAGCTTTGTCCGAATGAGTGCTAGTGACATTCACGCACATGTCAGAATCCACGAAACCCCTTCCAAAAGCTCCCGACGCGATCTCACTGCGTTCTCTGTCTCTCAGCGACTCATTGCTCCACGATTTAAATGTCGGGAACACTCTTGCAACCGACCTCACGGACAAGACTACTTTGTCAACATAGAATAGCTGACAAACAAAACATAATAATGAATAAGTTATCGTCGTCACTAAATATCACGAAAAAATATGCCAAAAAATGGAAGTAGAGTAACTGACCGTCAAGAATAACAACGGCCCCGTGAATTTCTGTTTATGATTCAATTCCCACGATCTCTTGCTATCCACCAAGCATCGAATCATGTACGCGCACCAATTCATGTTGGCAACATTTGATAAATCGTCGAGCATATGTACTAAACGGAAGTTTGCCATTCCGTTTGGACAACTCTCGAACAAGCACGAGACCATAAGGACAATAAAGTGGCGCTTGAACCAATCGTCGGCGTCCACACACTCCTTAATCTTGTCCAAGACCTTCGATGCTGTAATATTCGATGGCCTTCTAACATTGAATAATCCAATCCATTCATCCAGCAAACTCGATGCAACTCTCTTTTTCTTATTTTTGATCTCAATCTCCCCGCGAGGTAGCCCGAATGCAACATACACGTCATCTTCCTTGACGTGAACCTTCTCACCATCGTATAATTGCAGCTTACGGTCCATGTGGTTGAAGGTGTCTACTAACCAGTACCCCATTTTTGACGGGGTCGATGTTATGCCCAACTCCAATAAACACCCCAGTCCCATTTCCCGTACAGCCTGCTTCTTCACATCTGACATGTCAGAAATTGCCTTCACGAAAATCGATGATGACGATCTTGTGTTTACGCTCAGAAACACGTCATCCTTGTCGCTGTCCGCATCGGAATCAACCCCAGCATCATCCGCAACATAGTTGTCTATATATTTGTCTATAGTGTCATTCTCGGACAGTTCATTTCTACCCTTGACTGAAAATTAAAAACAATTGATAAGTTAGTCAAATAACACATTCAAATAAATTTATATATATACTATAGTGCGATTAATTACATATACCACGCTTAGCATTAGTAATTCTCTCGAGACCGTGCTTAGGCGCATCAACGACGAAATCGTCACTATCAGGTTGACTCACTTTGCATGAACCAACTTTCGTACGCTTCACACGGGCAGCACCACGTTTAAGTTCGTCCAGATGCATCTTACAAAGTGCATCTACATAACATAAAATTAGTTATCAGGTATATATGAAAAAACACATGAACACATAAATTTATTATCTGACAATAGCTTGACTATATATGTCTGTGTGAATATCAGATGTGAATAAGCTGAGGCCCCACATGAAGCACGTGAATATATGTTATTTGTGAATACATATCCAACACATATAACACAAAACAAACAAGTTAGAATCAGAACTAAGAACAGTACCATTATAATTGGAAAACTCAGTAACATAAGAAAAAGCACGTCTATGTGTATAAAGTGAACATCACAGATACATAAACCGCACTACACACAAGCATGTCGTTACCTGGTTGCTCGTTTTCAACATACGTCGATGTGCCGCTTTGCTGTAATAATGCCAAGCTCATACGAAGTCGGGACGCTAACACATTATCAAACATTATGTACAAACTAAGAAATCTGACTTACTATTATAATTACGAAACAGAAAGCATAAAACACCACATATTTTCTAAAAGTTTCCCCTAAATACCAGTATCTGACTAACCCATTTTTTTTTTTTCTTATATTAAAAGTATGAAACACACGATGTATTACTACAAAACTATGTAAATGCTAAATAGTCGGAGATAATATTACCCGATTTCGTCGATTGAGGGGAATCACCCATTCGTAATCGGCGAAACAATCGACCCTGTGCAATATGAAAACCAACGATTTTTTCAACCAAAATCTCATAAACATAACAGAGAACATGTAATATATATCTCGAATATAAATTTTAGAAGAAAAATGGCTCACCAATTTTGAATTTAGAGGAGAACACAACTCGCCACCGAAGATCTCGTCCACAGAGCAATCACCTTGAGAATTGCGCAGCAGTTAATGGCTCTGGAATTAGACACCACGCGATAAGCCCTCTCCTAAAACTTGAAAAAATACATTAATGTCCTTTGAGGTATATTACTGACCACAAATATGTTGACTATTTACGCGTATGCCACCGTTAATATCTACGCGGTCAATAGCGTTTGAATTAATCTTGACTGTCAATTTAACCTAATCTAGGGTGTAGATTTATTCTCATTTCTTACATTATGAACCATTCTCATTTGAGCCTACTTCTATATATATATATATATATATATATATAATATTTTGTACCAAAAAAAAATAAAATGGGATGGTTCGGGACAAAAATATTCAAAACAGATACCAACATTGTTTAAAACGTTTTGGTACCGAGAACGGGATAAAAATAAAGAAAACATTTTGGAACCTTATTTTTCAGAACGGGACCATTTCGGTCCGGTTTGATACGGAAAAATTCGATTTTTCAGCCCACCCCTAGTGGTTCCTGGACAATTGAATGTATTTAAACAAACTAAAAAGGGGAAGTTAATGACTACAATATGTCAATTAATGGCCTATTTGATAGACACGTGTCTGGCAGAGTTGCATGCAAAAAGATACGTGGTGATGGCGCTTTTGATGATGAGACATGACTGACGACCGCTTTTGTAGTTCTCTTTCACATCATAATTCAGATCGACAAATCGCACTGGATGCGCACTAATGGATTTGCATGTCTTATCGTCTAGGCATGTGGTCCATTGGCGTTTTCTTTGTATTAACATAATCTCAATAATAATGGGTTGAATTACATTATGTATAACAAGAAGGAAAAATTACCCCCTTCACCATATATTTTTTACTATTAGACAAAAATGTTACGCTAATTTTTAGGTACATTTCTACATGACTACACAATATTGTTACTTTTTTGCATCAATTTTTAATTACAATTATCATTAAATATACTGTCTTACCATGTTAAAATATTTTTTAAATATAGTAAAATGCTTAAATTACATTAGGGAGATATTTTGATCCGAAAACCTTTCAACCCCACCTTCTAAATTTCTCTTCACACACACGGTCAGAGTCCCAAATTCCTTTCACTTTCCTTTTTAAATATCTCTTCCCCATCAATGATTTTCATCTCTCTCTCCTTTTCATAAAACAATTGCTCAAGGACTATGTTGTGACCTTGGATAGGCCACAACATATAGGTCAGAAGGTCAGAGTTATGACCTAAGGATCTATAGGCTGAATAGTAAAGGGGGAAAGAAAAAATCAATTACCCAAGGACTCTTGCCTAGAATGAGACGTGGTAAATTAAAAAGTAGGATCTGGTTGGGTTACTTCCCTGACAATGACTCTATTGGGCACCAAGACAAGTTCTTCATACTATCATCGCATTCTACGCCTTTTATTATATAATTCTCATATAAAGTTAATTAGCGAGTTCTGACTTGAGCGTCGAAGGTTTTTCCGTCAGGACCCCCTCCCGGCGTATTGCAGGTTAGCAAAGCTCAAAGACGAAGGTCGGTTGAGGCATAGGCGTTCAATTTGGTTCGTGACAAAAAGTGACGAACAAGCTGGCATCGTATGTGAGAATAGTCAGTCTTTTACCGACTATAAGGGACTAGCATTTTTCTCTCAAGTTTCACCAGAATCACAGTCATGCCTAGTGATAAACTCTAAGAAGAACCTCAGGAAAGACATGAAGGTTGCGTGGCCAAAGAGGCCCTTCGGATCTGACCCTCCCCCAAGCTGGCGGAAATCCTCCGACCCACTCATTACGTCCCAACAGACATTGCCTTCCCTTGGGTTAGCTTTAACTCCATTGTCAGATGTGCCAGAAGAATCCACGGGCGGGACAGAAGCGCTTGTGGACCAAGAAGAAAAGGAAGACAAAGAAATAGTGGTCTGTGCAGTGGCGGAGGACGAGCAACAACAAACCGAGCTATTGGCGAAAAGACTTGAAGAGCAGGTCGAGGAGGAGTGGCTTGTTATCAATACACAAGAGGACCCCTAAAAAGAGGTCTTTAAGCTCACCCGAGAGGAATTAAGCAGGATCATAGCAGAGGCATTGACTCGGGTTCATGAGCCTAGGCAATTAGACCCCGTTATATCCATAGATTGAGGGACCCAACTGATGATCAGGGTACACTGTTGGATTTCTTCAGAAATTGGCTTTCTATACGTATATTTTTATGAAAATCCAATGGTGGGATCGTTGGTTGAACACGGTCATACTTTAAGGCACATTTTAGCCAACTTTTTTAACCTTAATGGCGAATTCTACAAATATCGAATTATCATAAATAAAATAAAGGTTACGGTTTGATAAGTCGAGTGAAGAGTTTCAAAATGGTCTATGATCTGTTGAAATCTGTCACGATAGGCGGAGGTGGCGATTGGTGAAAGGCAACGACCGTGAACTTTACCATTTTCTTTCACATTTAGACCAAAAGTGATTGAAAATTTTTATGACCAAAACAGATTAAATTAGAAAATTAGATACCAAAAATGAAAATGTGGTATATTTTGGGAACTAAAACTGATTTCTTTTCTATAAAATAAATATTCATAAATATTTTGCCCCCTTGTTCCCAAGAAAATATTCCAGTCCTCTCCCTGAAAACCTCACCACTACCCTAGAGACAAATGTCCATTTCTACATAAATTTCCTCCTCTATGCAGCCTACTCAACAAACACAAAACCTCACCCTCCCTCTCTAAAAAAAATAGTCTTTTTTTATCACTCATTCATCATAAAACTCTTCTTGCTTCGATCTTAGGCCTCACAGATATTGCACAGAACATTATGTCAACCTCTTAACATGCACAAAAAAAGGGCAGAAATAAAAAGCTCTTTTATGGGTTTTTGATAACTTCCATTACCAGCGAAAGCACATTCTTTTGTCTTCCTGAAAATGGTAGAAACAAACATCTTTGACTGTGGGTCGACGGAATTGCTCTGTGATGAAGAAACTCAAAACTCGATCTTTTTCGATGACGATGATCCTTTTGAAACTTCCGATGACCGGGGCCATTTAACGGACGGCGATAAGGGTGGGGACGGATCAGAATCTGGGCCGTTTATTTCTTGGCCGTGCCCGAGTGTAGATTACATTGGGTGGATGGTTGAGAGAGAAAGTGCACACATGCCCAGAGATGATTATCTCAAGAGATTGAGGACCGGGGATTTGGATATGGGTTTGAGGAGACAGGCTCTTGATTGGATGATTAAGGTTGATTTATTTTGATTAATTGTAATATTACTGTGTTTCCCTTGTTCTGTTTTTGGATTAATCTTAATGGAGTCTTCGTTATCTTCTTGCCCCGGATCAAATTGAGTTTTTCAATTGTTTTCTTTGTATTGATTGTTAGTTTTTACTACACAAAATGGAGTCTACATTTTTTCCTCAGTTCTGATTGCATTATTTTTGGAGTTGGATTTTTGTTTTGCATTGTTTTGGTAACTTTTAATTCGCTAATCCTGTTCTCGTATGATTTCCTCAACTGGGACTTTGTTTCCTTATTTCATTTCTGGTCATTAATGATTTCCCATCTATGTAATCATGGGCCGTAGTAGATTCAGTGTTCACAAATCAGGCGATTTTATTTTTATGTAGTTTTAATAGTCATTTCATTAATTTCATTAATGGCTTCTTGGGCTATTTGATCGAAATGCATTTTCATCTGCAAGAAATCAATGTACCCCTATGATTATTTTGCCAATCCTTTCTGTAATTTGAATACGATCCTTGATTTTCTATATTTATTTCTGTGCAGGCTTGTGCCCACCACAATTTTGGGGAGTTATGTTTGTATCTGGCTACAAATTACTTGGATCGATTTCTATCGGTGTATAACATGCCTGTACGTTCACTTGATAAGTTTAAAACCCTCATAATTGATTATTTTATTTCAATTATGAGGGAGTTTTTGAAGAACATACTTTCTTATTTACGCATTGCTGTTTTTATCTTTCAATCTTTGCCTAAATTCATAATTTATTGACAATTCAATAGGGAGGTAGAACATGGGTTCTTCAGTTAGCAGCAGTAGCTTGCTTGTCATTAGCAGCAAAATTCGATGAGGTTAACGTGCCTAATTCCTTGGATTTACAGGTAAAATTTGCACAACATTGTCACTTCATATTGGGTTCACGATGAACTATACAAAGTACCTCCAGTTAATAAATTCTTCAGCTATCTTTCAGAACTACAAATTCCCATACATTTGAATACAAACTTGAGGAGTTGATTTTGATACCCTAAGCCAGGTTTTTGTAATTTTGTAAGATAATCTGATTGGTGGCAATTAAGTTGGATGTCAAAGGTATTTTACTTAATTATTCCTCAAATTTATGTTGATGAGCTATTTATTTATTTATTTTTTTTTTATTTTTTTGCAGGCAGGAGAACCAAAGTTTTTGTTTGAAGCAAAAACTATACAAAGAATGGAACTTTTGGTACTCAACTTCTTGAAGTGGAACATTAAACCTTACACGCCATTTAACTTCATCGACTATTTTCTTAGAAAGACGAGTGGCGATGTCGAAGCCCAATCAGGGCCGTTGATCGCAAGATCAAATCAAATCATCCTGAGCACAGTCAAAGGTGTCAACTTTATTACACAACATGTTATCATATATGTGAAATTGCAAGTATTTTGTACACGGTCAGTCCAAAACTGGATGAGGCTTTGAATTCATAGTATTGGTTGGAAAACTTAAATGCAGGTATTGATTTCTTGAAGTTCAAGCCTTCTGAAATAGCTGCAGCAGTGGCTGTTTATGTTTCAGGCGAAAAACGAGTGATAGACATTGATAAGGCTCTGTCTAGTTTTCTCATAATAGAGAAGGTACTAGCACATTTTGTTTTTTTTTTTTTTCATTTGATTTTTTTTATTTGGTCTCCCACAATAAATAATAATATGACAAGACAACTTCTTGCCCGTGCTTGGTATATCATAAATATCATATTTATGTTTCTTCTGCAATATTTTTGTGAGGTTTTATTATTCGCCTCAATATATCTTTAGTGTCAAATTATTGTTTTGAACACTTTGGTTCTTAAGTAAATGTTTTCTCTAAAAATTACATATTATTTTTTTTTGCCAAATTTATTTTGCGGGGTTTATTTACAGGATAGAGTCTTGAAGTGCCTAGAATTGATTCAAGATTTGATATCAATAAGTGGGACTACCTATTCTTCTTCTAGTAAAACCGCTAAAGCTACAAATGTGGCTAATGGTTCGACTGAATCGCTATCTGTTTGCCACAGTCCAAACGGGGTCTTAGATGCCGCTTGTTTGAGCTATAAAAGTGATGAAAGAAAAAGAGTTGGTTCCGGTCCAACTCTTTTAGAGGCTAGTCCAGATAAGAAAAGGAGGAAAATGGACGAGAAAACGGATTTTGGGGTGATTCTTGAAAATAAAGACAATTGTTGAAAAATGGGGCTGTTGCTTGTGGTGAAAAATCAAAGAAGGTAAGGTTTTATATAGCTCTTTGAGATGAACAATCGAGAGAGGATTAAAGATGAAAAGAAAAAAAATCAAATATCTATATTTTTCTACTAATATTTGTTAATTTATTGTATTTTCCCGCCTTGTTAACCAAATGAAGAAAATTGTATTTTCAGTTTCTCATTTTCACTATTATCTAAAATTGGAAATGGAATTTTGAATTTTGATTAAGACTGTATCTTTTGAAATTTTAAAGTATGGCAGGCTGACTTCATAAACTCATAAACCGTTTACAGTAGAATTAGTACTTTTTTTTTTCGCCCTTGTTTCTTCAATTTGTTTGTATCCCTAATAAATCACCTTGTATTTCAATTTTAACAATAATGCTTGCAATAAGAATTTTTATAAGGAACAAGTCACAAAAAAGTTATCCTTATATGTGGAGACTAAAAAAAATAAAAATAAAAAAATAAAATAAAATAAAAATTAAATATGTGGAGACTAATACTAATACTAGAGCAATAATAAAAAATGAAAAGGCAATGAACTAGAGATTTGTGAATTAATCTTCCAAGTTTCAAGAAGAAGATAGGTGCATGCGTGGACCCGAAAAAACGGTGTTCCTGGAAATGTTTTGTTTGGTAATGATTACATGTCATGCTCTTTTTGGGTATCTTAAATGAAGGACCCACAACCTCTCTTGTTGTTTTGACTTCCTGTGTGTGTTATGTGCCTCGCCAGTCAACATATGCTGTTTTTTGCATGTAAGTAAATAACGTTTACCAATACCAGTGGCACATTAAACAACAAAAAAATAAAATAAAATAAAATAAAATAAAAATAGAGAATGAAGATTTTCTGTCCCATAGAGTTTTGGCGTTTGCCTATATAAATATTTGCTCAAAATGAAATTTTTTAGTTAATTAGGGTTAATTTTAAAAAAATAATATATTCAAATATTAATAAATTTGAGTTTATATACATTTAAAATAAAATATTTAAAATTGATTTAATATAAAAGTAAGAGAAATGATATGAAGTGATTATTAGTTAAAATTACGTGAGTAAATGAATAGTGAATTAAAGTTATTTGATGTATCAAAATGATTGGTTGATATTATTTAATTATATTGATAATATTGAAGACAGTGGAGTTGAATAGAGTTGATTTAAATTTTGAGTATGAACTATGTATTAATTGAATTATTTTATATTCATACACACCCTTACTTTCGCTTGCAGAATTGCACCAATGACTTACACAAACCACGTCAGATGTGAAATGTGGCACCAAATACAAACACTTCAAGAAAATTTTGGTAGCTGAAACAAGTGAAAAGGCCGAATGTAAACTTTATGGGGAAATGGCCTTTTGTCACTGCAAATGGACTGCAATTTTCTAAAGTTGAACCTGATAAAATGTCCAGTCCCAACCTTCAGAAGCAATTCTTCTGCACTGTGCCACCTGCTACTCAGCCTAGAACTCAAATGCAGATTTGAATTGTGGTACCAAAAAGAACTTGTGCAAAGTATAAAGATTATTGATAAACTGCCAAAAACATAAGGAATGATTGAAATGAAGACCGTATGCATTAAATAATAAACTGCGTCGCAGTTAAGAGTTGATTTGTTACGTATTTGGTACAAAAATAGGGTTTGTAACACTTAACAACCCCAATCACAGGGCAATGCTTTCCAATCTCGAGCTAATTTCCAATTTTCTTGTAATGTCAGAAAAAAAAAAAAAAAAAGTATTGCGCCCGCCAACTCTGAAGGCAAGGTCATCGATACTCTATACTGTACACTTCAAGAATTTGACAAGGAATTAAATCGGATTTTGAATTTTGAACTGCTAGGGTCTCACGAAACCAGTGTTAATGCAGTTTCGCTAGCATAATATTATAAGTCTGTCAGAGTTAAATTGTACTTTACCTTCTTTTTTTTTCCTATTTATTTTAAAAATTTAGATGAAATCCGGTTGGCCTGTTGACGTCAAACAACGATGCCACATCCGGCTGTTAGGGTCGACTACTTTGGGCTGGGCAATGACTTCAGGGATTGGAAAATAGACGTAGTGAGTATTGCATATTCCTACTGTGATGCCACTATACCCAGCAAATGCACCGTGAACCTGCCAAAATTATATTACGCATATTTAATTGATTAAACATTTTTAAAGTAATAATTGTTCAAAATTATAGAGATGTGATCCACACGAAAGAACGGACAATAAATGACTAGCTCAACTAAAACATTCGTTGGAATTTGTCATTATGAACATTGTTTCAAGAGAAAGAATTTGTTACAGTGCTATGGAATTTGTTACATAGCCAAAAATTTCCAATTATTTGCATCAGGATGCCATTTAAGGAATTCAAAATTGCATGCACTTCATGATTGATGTTGTCAAAGCTCTCAGACAAAAGTCCTATCTGAGGCCATTTGGACACACTCAAATAGATGACTTCTGAGGAAAAAGTAATGGCATTGCAAAATAGTCAGACGAGGAGGACTTACAGCATTTTGGCCAAGAACAGTGCAGAGAATTCCATCTGAGGCATTTGCACGACATGCACGGATCATGTAAGTAGGATCGATGTATTTCACGTCTGCTGGAAACCCAATTTCCTTGAAGAATTTCTTGGTCTGTGATAAGAAAATTGAATTTTTAGTAAAAAAATTTATTGAAATGTCAAATCAAAGTTTTTTTGATCATATAAAGATATGAAAAGACAATTACTATCGTTGTAAAACATGTTACTATTTATTGATGTATCAGTGAGTTATAATATATTGATTAATGACAATTAAAAAGATTACAGAAAGATCATAGCCTAGCGCCAACAAAGAGTATCAGGTTAATATAAAAGAAAGCACAAATAATATCATAAATAGAAAACAGGCAAATGGCGAATGGACCAACCTCCTGCTGTATATGTACACCGATATCTCCTAGTATGATATTCCCTGATGCATCTGTAGCATTGGTTTTTTTAACGAGATCCTGTCAATAAAATAACAATAAGAGAGAGAGAGAGAGAGAGAGAGAGAGAGAGAGAGAGAGAACTAAATGGAGCAAACAGGATCTCACAAACCTGTCCAGCTGTTATGTGAGAAAGAGAGAGAGAGAGAGAGAGAGAGAGACCTGTCCAGCTCCCTCTGCAACACAGACAACAGCAGATCCTTTTGTCTCAAGGAGGTACTTTAGGTGGCTTAGGACACCATTAGGTCCATGAAGATTAAATGGCACCTAATAAATACAATTAAAATAATACATACCATCATAGTATGTGAATAAACTTCAAAATAAATTGGTATATTTTTTTCTAATAGCATTTATAGAAATAGTACCTCTGGAATCAAGCATATATCAATTTGTCCACTAGCAAGGGATGCCTGCATAGCTATAAATCCACTATTACGGCCCATCAGTTTCACTACGCCAATACCACGGTAAGCACTGTGTGCCTGTCAGGTAAAGAGAGGATCATTTCAAAAAATGAGTTCAATTACTAAAAATATATATAAAAAAAATAATTAATCCAATTTTGACTGAGGATAAACTATTTTTAGAACAAAAAGAACAATCAGAGTATACCTCAATATACGCAGAGTAGATTGCTCTTTGCGCTTCTTCAACAGCAGTATCAAAACCAAATGTTTTATCAATAAGCAGAATATCGTTGTCTATGGTTTTTGGCACACCAACTACAGCTACCTTTAATCGTCTTCTGCCGCACTGCATAGCAACCAGAAATAATAAAGGAGCAGGTATCGACAGGACTGCAGACAGCATTAGTACATACACATTACTCGCCATCTCACTATTTATATCACACAACTGACTGCTCTAGAAGAAAAAGAAACTCCTACAGAATTTAGTATAATCCCAGGGGCAAAAGTGTTTACTTTTCAGGTTTGTTTCTGGAAAAAAAGACTTCTCAAGTATTCTTCTTATTCAACTTCGTTGTTCATACTTGGATGTCTTGATCAAAAGTAAATAATATTAGTGAAACTAAAAGAAAATGGTATAAAATATAGAAGAGGGTCAATTTTGAGTAAAAAGGTCACAATCTCAGATATAAAATACCTCTTTGTGTATGGCATTGGCACCAGCATGTGTACCATTTCCACCCAGCACAAAGAGCATATTGATCCCTCTTTCCTATCATCAAATTCATTAATTCAGGTTAATAGACAACCACAACATTAGACAACTAAGCAGGTTTACAGCTAGAAACAAGGACGAAGCACTGATATATACCTCCATACTGTCCACAATTTCACTAATAGTCGGCCCTCCACGGGAGACTCCTAGCATGCTTCCTCCTGATAGGTGGATATTTTGCACCACTTTCCTCGATAACTGATATGACATCAGATTAATCTAAATTTAGATCCATATGGAAAAAAAGGTCTGTGTTTCTAGAAAAGCTATCAAATTTGTGAGCAAGAAACTACAAGATGTTTTGGAGATTGGTCTTTACAACATCCAAATGACCGTTGAACAAGGTAAAATAGAGAATTGGGGTGGTAGTAAATAAAAGTTGTATGTTGGACTAGATATGGAAAAAGGATAGATTCTTTGCAATATACTTACTGATATAACTGATCCCCAACTTGCTTGGGACTAAAAGGCTATGTTGTTGTTGTTGTTGTATACTTACTGATATAACTGATACTACGGTCTAGGGTCATCAATTGAGCACATTAAAAAAAAAAAATGAAAGATAAGCTCATATTTGAAAGGAATAATGTGATGAAGTCCTCAAGAACATTATTCAGATTGGTAAGAGAATATTCTATTGGAGCAACAGGCTTCCCAAGTTCACAGCCACATTGTACAGACTAGCATCACTAATGTTGAAAAGATTGAATACTCTAGATTATGTGAAGGGAAGGGAAACTCATGATGAAATCTCGTCTAAAATTAACTATCAACCTTTGAAAAGATTAGTCCAGACTCTGATTCAGAATAGCAGAGGAACTCACCGGCATTTCAGATAAACTACTGTCAGAAAACCCCCGATAGCCAAAAGGAATTCCCACAATCTTTTTAACACCATATATCTCAAGTGTGATGACTATCTGCAGCCACACCAAAGAAAGAGAAATTAAATAAACGGTTCATTCTTCATTGAACAGTTTTTAGAATCCAATATGGCATGCAGTTGCAACACCAGACTTAGAAAAATGGAAGGACTATACCTCACATTCATTTCCAGTAGCCGCATGCAATCTGTCATTTCTTGTAATATGTTATGTACTGATATATATGTGAAGCATATACAATTTCGGGACTACTGAGATTAGATTTTGATGTGACCACGATGAGGTAATATCAGCAAGGCCTCTTAGTTGAAGTTATGATGACAACTGAATCAGAATATCAAGATGCATGAAATAAGAATTCAGTTCTTCATGTATCAAAATACCTGCCGTATTACATCATTGAGACCAGGACAAAGACCTCCACAAGTCACAATTGCTGCTTTTACCTCTTCAGGTTTAAAGTATATTTTTTCTCGTGGTCCAGCACGGTGAACCCTGACATTTAAGTGAAGACATATTATCTGAATTAAAGCCACTATATGAGTGTGGAACAAATTGTACAAATTGTACTGAAATTTCTGCTTGTATAATACTCTGTGTTTTTGTTCTGTCTGGAGAATCTTCAAAAACCCCAAGCTCCCATGTCAATTAACAAACTCAACCTAACAATTCTAGTCATTCGATCTTTACAATCTCGAAGAGTCAATATAGATATTAAGATAATTACCACTGTTCCACCCATGTACAGCCTGGATCAATGCATTCGGCACCGGCAGATGTAGGAGAGGAATAGTTTATCACCTAAATCATTGAGGAAATAACTTTCTCAGAGACAATCAGCATAAAGAAATTTTAGGAGCAAACACTTCTATTGCTTAAAGATATTAAACAGTCATTTTTTTTCATCTGTCTGTCCACAATCCGAGAACAACAAATGTGTAAATATTTCACTGCATATACTAGATATTAACTTAAAGAAATTGTAAACGGATTAAAATCTTGATTCGTATGTGTCAACTCACTTGTATGCACAAAATATGCTCATAGCAAATCTTTTGCAAATTGAACTTATGTGAGCATTTATTAAGCAACACCGAAATCGGCTGCAAAGAGTTATACAACCTCTTAACTCCTAAAAAGGAGAAAAAAAAAAAAGTGCAGTTCAATTTTTGGTAACTTCCATAAAACATAGAAACTAATTGTCAAAGGCGTAATCATTAATTTTCAAATCCTATATTCCTAACAGAGACCCACCACAGAATACGTCAGCCAGATAATAATTCGTTATTGGACTATCTCCTGAATGAAATGCAGCCATATAAGATGCGGACTTAATAAGAAATAGAAAGTACCAAATATTAATTTTCAGACTGAACAAAAGCGAAGTGGATAAAAATGCCAAAACCTAGCTTCAACAGTAAAGTTACGTTTCAAATAACGAAAGTAACAAAATTCCGAGAATATGGCAAATGAATAATTTGTCGAACTTGAAACATATAAATATGCGGGATATAGCAACGACACTAAGATGCAACTATAAACTGCAGCTGATAGCTGCAAGATGTCTGAAAAGTCGGCGATACACTGTTGAGTGTCAGGGGACAATCTTTTTAGCTAAACAACTGATTTTGAATTAAATTGAAAAAACTTACACGTCAGGCTATCATTCCTCACTGGACTCTACCAGGGATGATGGAAATTCATCTTGCCCCATCCAATATAACCATTAAACAGAGTAACAGACCTACGGCCTAATGTATCAGTAAGCATGTCAATCGACAGAGTTTTACCACTCATTCTTCTATTTCTCAATTTACACATCCATGTGGCCATGGTATAAGTTCATCATTACCATAAAGTACAAGAAAATAGGAGAAGTTGCCACAAAAGGCAGAGCACAGGCATAGCAAAGCTGAATCAACAGAAGTAAAATACCATATAGAAAGAGAAACAGGATGGAAGAAAAATGACACCTTGAGCAGTACTCTGTCATTGTTGTTAATATATCCGTGCCATTCATCATCCGATCGATAACCTTCCGCAACATCAGGACTTAAAGGAGTCCTGCAACAAAATTTCAAGCAATTATTTTCTAGAAAGACAGAAAAATGCAATTATTTTCACATGAACTACAATCCCAAATATAAAGCAGACCGTAATGTGCTCAAGCATGATGTCATTTAGAGTATGCAAAAATGAAATGGCCAAAACGCCAAAAATACAATGCTTCTACGTGAAAAAGTGATCCCGTATCAAAGATATTAGTCTCCATTCTCTTGACCAGCAAGCGAAATATAATGAATCAAGGTTTCTACCAACCACATACAGGCAGAGATAACCATGTCAACAACAAAATAACAATTACATCAAGAAACATCATTCATACTGGGACACACTTGCTACGAAAGACGGTCCCGGAAAGGAACGACTTTTTTCAATTTAGGTAACCTTTATTCCCCCACCAACCTCATTCGGAGACGGAAAGGTGAAGGATACGAAACAGCGTCCTGCAGGATATCCGTGAGATGGGGAATGCTGAAGCGCGCCTCGAATTCCCTCTGGTACTTGGACCTCCAATCCGGATCGCCGAAATCAATGCCCGGCGGGGTAGAAACGCGACTCTCCGGCCGAGCATTCGCCTCGACTCGTCTCCTCATCCGACCATGGTCTGCGCTTGGACTCCGAAGCGACCCAAAGGAAAGCACCCTCTGATCGCATCGAGCCGCCGTCGTCACTGGGAGAATCAGCGGCGGCTTGATCGCCGTCGAAAGCGCCTCCATCGATGACGATTAGCGTTAGAGTTTCAGAGCTGGAGCCTGGAAAATGGAATCTGTCGAGTATCGTATGTACACATCTACGTCTATTTGGAGATCTACGTAGAAAGAGGGAGAAAGCTCTCTCTCTTTACTTCTGTACAGTTTTCTACTTTTCTATGTACTTTCGGTTTTCAATTTTACTTTAAGGTAGTTTTTGGTTCGAGGGATTTGGAGGGGAGGGGAGGGGATGGAAAATTTTAGTTTTCTCTTGTTTGGTTGAAAAATTAGGAGGGGAGGGAGAGGAAAATTTTAAGTAAATTTCCCTCCCCTCCCTCACTTTACCTCCCCTCCAAAATTGGAGGGATTTGGAAGGAAAATGTGTTAAGATGGTGTGAAAATACCATTTAGTCCCTACTTTCAATTGTTTTTTATTTTTTATCTTATTTCATTAAGGGTAAATTTGTCATTTTAATTTTATTTTCCCTTCCTTTAATTTTTGAACCAAACAAGGTTTACTATTTTCCCTCCCTTCCCCTCCTGAATAATCCCTCCAAACAAGGTAAAATTATTTTACATCACCTCCCCTCCCCTCCCTTCCCCTCCATTAAAATCCCTCCCCTCCCTTCCCCTCCATTGAACCAAACACACCCTAACAGGTCAAAGTTTCCCGTGGTTGTGAGTTGTGACAGAGTGAAATAAGTAAATAACCCTACTTCTCAAGGGTAGTACTTTTCAGTATTTTGTGACCCGGACTGGCCCGACGGGTCGATCCGGAGCCAGAACCGGTCCGGGTGGGGTATTTGGACCGGGCAACAAAGGACCCGGTAAAAACCCGTCCGACCCGGAGCATTGACCCGGTCGGGTCAACCCGATTGACCCAATCCATATATATTTTTTATTTTTTTTTATTTTTTAAAAATAAAACTATGTTTATATGTTTATATGGTAAATATTTATCTGACATACATATTATTAACACTTTAATGTACAAATTTTATATACAAAACATTTAATTTTGTTACTTTTACTAGTGCAGAGCCCGTGCGATGCACGGGGTGCACAATTTTAAGGCTATTTATCCAGGCTTATAATTATATACATGAATAAAGAAAAATATACGGGATATATGTAGCACATGACCCGTGCGAGGCAAGAGATATATTTATTTGGGGAATATTATATTATAAGATGCAATAATAAATAAAAGTTTTATAATACGTAGGAAAATTGTACAATAAGATAGTATTGGACAAAGAAACAATCATATGTTATTAAATTTACACAAACTATAAATATTAGAATGGCTAAATATTTTGAGATTTATAATTTATAATTGGTAGAGTAGAATCAATATATGTTAAGATTTTTAGGAAAAAATCTTGATATACGGAAATCACATTATATGTAGAGGAAAAATGGGATGGAGACGAATAAAATATTGTTCAAGTTTTAGTTTATATGAGAATTCCATGCAATATGGGACTCTTTCCAAGTTTTAGTTTATATGGATTATTTCTTAAATCCAAGTGGGGTGTTACAATAGGGCTACGACAGGGGGGTCTAAGCGTAGACTTAGACCTTTCTTTAGAGTCGAAAGCCTTATTCGACGGCTGGGGTCGAGTAGATAAAAAACTGTTGAAAAGAAAGCATGTCATAGATTTGTTAGAAAAGTTTGCTGTTGATGAAGGTCGTGTAGACGACTTCATCAGGATGTATAGTTTGGTCGTTTTTAGTTGCATTTTGTTTCCTTGTTCGAGTTATTCCATCCGCAGGTTTGTTTACCCTTACCTGGAGGATGTGAGTCGAATTTGTAAGTATGCATGGGGAGATGCTACTCATAAATTCTTGCTTGCAGAGCTTGTTCGCCATGGTGAATCTAGAGACCGAGCTTACTTTGATGGATGTGTTGTTGGGCTGATGGTATGTATATATGTGTTTCAATGTCTTAATACAATAATATTAAATTGTGAGATTGTGTAATTTTGAAATCATGTGTATGTGTGTAGGCTTGATTGTACGAGCGTGTGCCTTCTCTGGGCAAATGTTCCACACTCGAGGCGATTCCCCGTCTATTTCGATGGACGGAGAGCACAATGCGTCTACATTTGAAGGATCTTTACAATCCCTTAAAAAATAATGAGGCATAAGGTATTTTATATAATTTTATAGTATTATGTGTTTTCTACTTCTTCTTTTTATCTTTTTGGTTAATTGATATTGTAGTTAAATCATTATGATTTGCTTTGCAGGTGTATTCGGTATCGCCTGTTTTAGAGGAGCGTGCGTTTGTGGAAGCCCATGTTTTCCTTTAATTTTTGTCGAGAATTTATGTTTTAGCATTAGTATATTTTCATAGGCACAAGTATCTTTAATTTATGTTTTCCTTTAATTTTTTTTTCTTTCATGTACAGGGAACGTTTGAGAACAGACTGTATGCCATCGTTTGTCATGAAAACGATGAATTTAAAAAAAGGATTCAACTGTTGGAGTCTCAGTGGAGAGAAAGAAATAACGAAGAAAAAGAAAGAGAGGAAAAAAGTGAGGAAGAAGAGGCTGATGGTGGTGATGGTGTTGTTTTTGCTGAGGAAAAAGAGGAGAAGGAGAAGGAAAAACAGGAGAAAAAAGAGGAGGAGGAAAAAAAAGGAGGAGGAAGAAGATGTCGAGTAAAAACACGTCGATGAAAAAGTGGAGGAAAAACAATGGGCTCTGATGATGGTTGAAAATCAACCTGCTGTGAATGAATTTGAAGACTTGGACCGACTGGTAAACCTTGTGGTGAAGGAGGCTGATTTGGGGGAGGAATCGACTTGTTCGAGGGTGGAGGAGAAACCCTCCTCAATGGTGAAGAAGGTCCGGGAGAGGGTAGGCAGGAAGACGAAGACAAAGCCGGTGGATTTTATGACCCCTCCGTCATCCGGTCCGAAGAGGCAGAAGAAAGAAAAAGAATCGCAGTTGGTAACATTGGCTGATGATGAGATAATTAAACTAGCAATTTTATTTTTGTAATTTATGTGATTGTTCGTGTTGTTTTCATATAACTAACTAATTATTTTGTAATGTAATGTAGGAGGGTGACAAGAGTGACGACGAAGAGGATTCTTCTCTGAATCAATACGGGGGCAGAGAAGATTTTTGTGGACATGGGGATGTCCCGGAAGAGGATGCTGCAGCCATCCGGTCGTTCTTGGCAAGCGATTAGTTGAGGTAACCGAAATTACGTTAATTATTTTAATTTCTATTATATTATACTAATTAAAATTACAAATTTTGGTAGCAAAATTGTGTGGAGCAATGACCAACTTTTGGTCCGAGGGATATCGATGTGTGCTCTTCTGTTCGGGTCCGAGTTGGATTCTCAACTCGTTGATTGCTATATGTCGATCCTGCGTGGCTGCCATCCTCATGTCCGATTTCTTCCGACATATGTTCAGGTATTTTATTTTAATATACTCTATTAATTTTTTTGATTGTTAATTTGCTAAAAAAATTATTGAATTTGTAGAGTGATATGTTGAGTGCTATCAAAGGAATTACGAGAAAACCTCCTCGGAAGGAGGATTATGAGAAGTGTACTTTTACTTTTAGTAGAAGTACTGTTGTCGTGATTGATGATATGATCAGGTCCTTGAATGGTGCGAAGTATATTTTCCTTCCCGTGGTGCAATTCCACTTCTTCTTACTTGTCCTTAAGGTTCAAGAAAGGACGTTTGTGTACCATAACTTGATGGATACTGCACATTTCCGAGGGATTGGGAAGAGCTTGGTAAGTGTTATTATGACATATAAAACTTTTTTTTGTAGTGGTTATTTTCTTTCAGATAAATGTATTTTGTTGCTTTTTCCTTTTTTTTTTTTTTCAATGTGTAGGCCAAGTGCATGGGAGCTTAGGGGTGTTCACGGTCCGGTTTTAACTGAAAAAACCGTCAACCCGGACCACGGATCGGTTAAATGACCAGTTAAAAAAACCTTAAAAAATCCGGTGGTTAATTTTTTTAAAAATCCAGAATAACCGGTCCGGTTAACAGATTACCTGCGGCAAACCGCCGGTAAATTGAAGCCCAAAATGAAAAATAAAAATTAAGCCCAAAATGAAAAAAATAAAAATTGAAGGCCCAAAACAAAGATTTGGGATTTAACCGGTTAACCGCCAAACTGGACCGTCCAATACGGTCCGGATTGTGGTCGGTTAAAAAATAAAACCGGTCCGGTTATGGACAAGAAAAAAATTAACCATTAGGTCCGGTTTGGTCATGGTTTGGGCTAAAATCGGACCAATCCGGACCGTGAACACCCCTATGGGAGCTTATCTGAATTTGAGAACTGGATATGGCATTCGTCAAGACGATTTTGTGTGCGGATACCTCAGGAAGCAGTCCGATGTTTTAGGGTAAATATAAACAACAATATTCAAAATTCAATTCTTCACAAATTAAACAAAAATATATGAATTAAAGATGATTTATGGAGTCCAAAGTTCTCTATAATACATACATTACTTACTACTTCAAGTTTTCGCCCGAAAAAGCCCCAATGTTGCCGGAAAAATAGGAATTTTCGGACAGAGAAATATGATTTTTTTGCCGGAAAAAGCCCCAATGTCGCCGGATTTGTTGCCTCCGGGGAAGAAGCCAAAAATCAGATTTTTAGGTAAACAAAAATAGTAAAATAATGTGTAAGTGAGGATGATGTCACAATGCAATTTCTTTGTGATTTATTTTAAGAGTAGTGCTATTTGGATGACAACTTAGGTTACAACCTAAGTGTAAATGTATTATAAAAAAATTAAAAAATAATTCATTTACACTTGAGTGTAAATGTATTATAAAAAAATTAAAAAATAATTCATTTACACTTGAGTTGTAACTCAAGTTGTAATCCAAGTGGGCTCTATAGCATTGCTCATTTTCGGCCGTTCCTGTAAACTCTCTTAAATCCTTTCTCTCTTTCATAAGTGTTTTTAAAATTCAAAATTCCTCAGAATTGGCCTGATTGGGTTTTCTTATGATTTTTCCCCTATTTTATCAACCTTTTTTTTAGCCTGTGAGTGTGGGCTGAAGGTATAGAAAAAGGAGTGGGCTCTATAGCATTGCGGCTCTATAGCATTGCTCATTTTCGGCCGTTCCTCTAAACTCTCTTAAATCCTTTTTCTCTTTCATAAGTGTTTTTAAAATTCAAAATTCCTCAGAATCGGCCTGATTGGGTTTTCTTATGCTTTTTCCCCTAT